GGGGGGGGGAAGGTCGGGCTGCGAACGCCCATGTGAGGTGGCAGTTCTTAAAGACTTATAGGGATCTCCTCGCAAACTGCTGCAAGTAACCGCACGGCTTCTTCGACTGGATTTCAATGGTTTATCCCTATCCTTTCCGCACCCTTTCCGAACCTAGAAGATAAGCTCATTCGGGTACTTTGATTCTTCTACTGTGTTTGTTTAACAAGAGATCTGCGTTGTTTCAGTTGAGCATTTCGGAATATTTGCACGATTTTTAGGACGCTTGCGTCTATCACGTGTGATATGTCTAGCCTTTTTCTGAAGATTTGTGATGCAGATTCCTGATTTCTGTGAAATTAATGACCATATTAATCTGTAGTATTTGTTCAGTTTAGTGGTGCATTTCAAGATGAACTTATTGCGATAAAGCAAGGGTTACCAGGGTGAATTCCTCAGCATGTACACTTACTGCACGAGAACATGTTGATCGCATGGGCGGAGTCAGGCCTATTTTTGTGCCTCAGTCATTGATGCTGTAAGAAAAAAGTACGTACTGTATTGAGTGTCAATGAGCAAGGCGCCGTGCTTGTGGTACACACCCGTTCAACTAGCCCTGTCTGCCTTTAAATCATAGTGTTGGGAACTTCAAAGATTTCAGTGCGTCCAGTGAAGAGGCAGAAACAGCCGAACCGTCACACCTGCAGGCTCTTGCCCGCACTCTGGACAGCCACGGGCTGGAATTCGTCGAGGCAGAAACCCGGCTAATGCCGTTTGGACTCCAGCAATTTCGGCACCGAGCTCATTTTTAAATTGCCTAAGTCACCAAATCCGCTAAAAACTTGTATTTAGGGGTAGTTTAACATCCTGATTACGAATATGACATTCACTCTTGCCGCTGGCGCTAATGGATGACACTACGATTATCTGCGCTCCGCTAAGGCTGAGCCAAGAGGTAATCGTAGTGTCATCCCTTGGCGCCAGCGCCAAGAATGAGTGTCATAATTGTAATCACGATGGTAAATAACCCTTGTGTACATGTTTTCAGCGGGTTTGGTGACTTAGGCAATTTAAAATGAGCTCGGTGCCGAAATTGCTGGAGTCCAAACGGCATTAGCGGAAACCATGCCTTTACGAAAACTGCAGAAAGTGCTGGCGATATGAATGTCCATCCAATGGCAATAGACTGGCTTATGAAAAACTCCACCCCAAGCAAAAACAGGGTAAAGTCATAAAATATGAAAAGTGGCGACGCCCACCAGAAACAGCTGGCCATGCGCCGGCGCCAGACTTACTCTAGGGAGGAAGAGTGCGTCTAGGGATGTTGCCGTCTTCTGAGCCGGATCAGATCAGTTTCCGTGCTCTCAGACCTGCTACAAGTTCATCAAAAGCATTGAAAGGTTTTGTAGACTCCAAGAAGGGAAATCGAACAGAATGGTCAGTATTTATAAAGTCTTGACAGAGCCCCCAGTACTGCTACGTTCCTACATATTTACTCGGTTGATTTTTTTCAGCTTCTTCGCTCCATTTACAGCGAGGTACAAACCATTCGTCTAAGTTTGTGAATATTTTTATTAGGAATATTTCTACTGAACATCTACGAAACTGAAGAATACTATCGTCTCAGCAAGCCGGCAGGTCTTCTGCGAGAATATCCCATAATTTTCGCTGTTCCTCGTCTCACAACAAACTGAAATAGTAGAATTTCAAGAAGGCAAGGTTTTTTTTGATTTCGCAGTGTTTCAAAATCGGTAAAAAATTGATAGTGGTGTAAAAAAAATAAATTTGTGAATTACGGCCCAAAAAAGTATTATATAAAAACGTACGCCTACTGCTTCATCTGCTCGTATCCGTTGATCGAAATTTTTGGGTGGAGCAAAACCTGAACAGGATAACTTCGAACTCGAGCTCATAACAACTACAGCAAATTTATGATTTCCAAAAGTCACCTGGAGGACCACCCATGTGCTTCGCATTGGTCATATCAGGCAGAGCAGCGAGTGGTGGTTGGAGTATCAAAGATGGCGAGACTACCTGAACTGACTACGTAAATCGCTACGTTTGTCATGTTTCCGATAGAAATATGAATTTTTTTACAGAAGGGTCTTTGTGGATTGCGGCCGCTAAGGTATCGGAAGAAAAAAACATGTTGCAGCGTAGGGATGGGATTCTTAAGAGGAAAAAGGCTTCAGGGTGGATGATGCATTTACATGCGTGAAAGCTGAAGTGCGTGAAGTTACAGTGATTATAAAACGTCACGCAGACGAGAGAAGGTCAAGTTGTCCGTGGGAAGGGGCCGTTCGGAGAGCGCTACATACAGTTTTCCACAAAGAGTCGCTCAAATGCCCACTCTAAATTTTACTTGAAAAAGCTATAGTTATTAGATCTTCGTGGTTTCCAAAGTAGACCCGCACTGTTTAATCTTAGGCGCCTGGTCAGGAAGGACTTATTGAGATATCACTAATCCTGCGCCATTCGACGTGTCCGGTCTGTCCCCACAGTTGCGGCTCTGTGGAGTTTCTGCAGGTTTGAGTAGATTGTTAAACCTGCTCATCCCTCGAAAAGCTCCAGTGGAACTTTTAGTAAGACAAGACCAAATGACAAAATTAAACCAGACGACATTGGAACTCACCTCGGAACTGTCATCTCCTCCACGAAGAGCAACTGTACATTGTATGGTCACGAGAGCTATTAAGAAGTAACTGAACAACATTCTGAAATGAGTGGCAAAACCATCTGGCAGTGAGTTAACTATACAAAAGGATAAAGTTGGTAAATGACAGATATGCACGAAAGGCGGAGGCAGAATAGTGGTATACAAGTGTTTCCCTCATGTATGATTCTGGGATCCTTCCTTGTTCCCTGCGTCGAATCTCTGGGAATAGGACTAGAATGAGCAAGGAAGACGTAGACTGGGAGTCACACGTTATTTGAAACGCATCCTCATCATAAGAGAGTGAGGAGAACGCGAAACGCTCTACTCTTACGCCTTTCTCAATCAGTGAGCGGCCAGATGTCAACAGACGAGCTGCAGTTCTCCAGGCTGCGTTCATACTTTGCGGCAGGTCCATCAGCGACCATCAGCGTCCACGAGCGACCATCAGCGTCAGCAACTAGGAAAGTATAGATATTGATCTAGCGGGTGGCAGCGTCTACCAGCGTTCCCCAGCAGCATCAGCGTCTTGGAGGCTAGGAAATTTGGGTAGAGTTCTAGCGTCTACCAGCGTCCACTGCGACCAGGAGTAGAGAGTAAGGGGAAGTAGGAGGGTAGCAGGCTGCTGGATTAGCCGTAGTGAAATTGTGTCGAGTACAACCGCACCGCAACACACTACTCCTGGTCGCTGTTGGACGCTGGTGGTCGCCGGTGGACGGTTGTAATGTTAGACTACACATCCTTTCGCACCCCTCGATACTCTGGACGGTAGCTGCCAACGCTGATAGGTGCTCGTGTAAGCACTGTGGAGGCATCGTAATACGCTGGCTGCTACGCACAGGTCGATATACTTGTGTCGCTGGTCGACTGGCGCTGGGCGCCAAACGTGATGGACGCTGGTGGCGCGCCGTCAATGTATAACCCTTTAGTAAATTATACAGCTCATCGCTTGCAGGTGCATCATGGCTGACTGGCAACTGTTTTGGCAGGAAGTTTGAAGCTCCTCGACGTTATTACAAAGATAAACAAAGCAACGCAAACAGAGTCCAGCTTGGGCGTAGGGAACGTCTTGATGAAGAACCGACGAATTCGATCTAAATAACCACGAAGATGAGCAAGGTGGGTAGTGACAAAAAGCGCGTTTACCGGGATGGTTTGGGAGTCAGGCTTAGGATCGTGCGTCTCTTCCAAGTTAACGAATAGCTTCCTGACATTGAATAAAAAACCGACTCGAATCACGACTGCTGCTGCAATGTCCTTCTGTAGAGCCACATCACATTCAAGAAAGCCTCCAGCACTTCGAAAGGAGGTAAATGGTGCCAGCAGCAAAAACAGGACTTGATCAATGCAAAAAAACTTCTTCTGAGTAGCTTCATTGTATAAAGGCGAGCCAAAAAGCTAGTTTATAGCAGATTTTTATAGGACGAGAAGCTTTTTCAGCCTGGGCAAGGGGCTATGTGAGACTTGCCCCCACATAGAGGTACGGTAAGCGGAGCTTCTTGTCACTACGTCACTTACATTTAACTTACGACTGGACCTGGTCTACAGAATGTGAGTAAACATGGAGCTATCCCCAGCTTACCCTCGTTTGATTGTACGGATTAGAACTATCATTAATTTCGCATTAATTGAATAAAAAAAATTGGGGGAGGGGTGGTTGCACACTTTTTTTTTCATATTGACCTTGAGTAGCTCTAAAGGCCAGTGTCCAAAAAGGCTTTGCAAACGAGATCTTCCGAGAATTCTCCATTACTGTATCTTGGTGCACAAACATAGCTGAACAGCCAGTGGCTGTAAGAGAAGAAAAGCTAAGAAGAGTTGAAGATAAGAGATACATCCGGTTTGAGGACGAGAACTTCGGAAAGTGAAAGACTGACTATCATTTGGATAGTGTTGCCCTATTGTTCAAGTCAAGGTTGTCCGCCTATCACACTACTACCGCCCGCCGCTGTATAACAAACAAAGAAACATGCGAATGAGAATGACCTTTGCGGTGAAAACTTTCTCCTTCCGGGTTAAGTGCTCTTCCAAAGAGGTATGTGAGAAGAACAAAAACAAAATGGGATAACAAAAAACAGAACATCAACAACAGGAATGTAGAGACGCGGAGGGCTCCGATAAACTCCATCATTGTGGACCATGCCCACTTCTCCCTTCTGCAGTCCAGTAGGTGTCCAGGTAACG